GCCAAACCATCGCAGCCATACCTCAGCTAGTTTTTTAAATGTTTAGGCCCAAAATGGGCATACGAACGATAATACGCTTGCTTTTAGATGTGATCACTTGCTTTTCAGGTTAATAAACAAAAATTATAAGTAAATTCCAGTAGAAATGTGGCATAAAATTGTTTATCATTCTCTTAGATCAGTTCAGGTTTTTTCTTTTTTAATAAAGCATTCCTGTTAGCTGCGTTGGCGCAAAATTTAGCTATATACTGCAAACTAAAGTAACTTTTGTCATGAAATGGTTAGCCAAACTAATACTTCGATGATCACAAACTATTCTACTCTCTATTTTATGATTCCTGGTAGCTTGTTGTTCAGTGTTATAAATTAGTCGAAATTTTTCGAATTATGACATCTTTCAAGTAAGTTCGTCAAACGCTGTCGTCAGTCTGAGACCCATCCTGCAATAATTTACACTATGACTATTTTGAATCATCAACAGCACTTTTTCTACTGCGTCAGCCGAGCTTCATTCTCTGCTTCTCAGCCTTCATGCGAAGCAACAGCTGCGATAATAAATGTCGTTCAGCCCCTACGACTAATGATTTCAGTGCTCTCCCTTAAAAATGTATTATCGAAGACTTCAGAGGCTGAGGAATCTGATATAATCTTTTCCGTTTACTTTACTCTAGTTATTAATTGGCACAAGTACGAGCTTCCCCCCTCCCCCCCTCTTCCAGCTTCAGCAAGTAACAAATATTTAATTGGGGGTGTTCACCGTTTCATAAGTATTGTGGTGCTTAAATAGGTTCCAGTGACAGTTAACACTTATGTTGGATAATTGGCGGAGCGTTTACTCAACTTTGGAATTTGTATCGTTTTCAGTGTACTCAAATTAATTTCCTTTGTAAGCTTAGAATGAGCTAATTCAATTGAAAGCAATCATACATTGTGATTTTCAAACTAGCGCAATTAATTAGGAGAGTGCTACTTGTCACTTGTCACGCTTAACTTGGTCAGATTTATATGACGTAATCACGCCGGCTCTTGCTTCTCGAGGTCCATTCTCCATGCCCTGTTGGTGCTATAATACAAAACCCCATGCTGCTTCTAACAGGTCAACGTTGGACTCCACACAATGGCAGTTTTACTTCGTTGCGCTACCGGTGCCAAAGCATCTGCATGTAAGTTGCGGCCTGATCATGCCACGAGAGTTCAGGAGCGGAAACGCGGTTTTATTTTTAACAGTGATAATCTTTGTTAGCAGTTCAGGCAGTAATTTGAAAGTACGTAAGAGTGAAGCAGCGGCAATTAAAATATATATATTAAAAAATATATATATATAAACGCATATAATGTTCTTTAATTAGGGACATATGACCGAGGACCCTTCAACAATCATAAATGTTCGACAGAAAGC